CTGGGAAGGTGGCTCAGTGGTAGAGCGCTTGCCTTGCATGCCTGAGGCCCTGGGTTCGATTCCTCAGCACCACATAAGCAAAAAGAAAAAAAGCTAGTGCTGCGGCTCGCGGCCTGGCCCACGTGGCCCGGTTCGGTTCCCCGCGCAGGAACCGCCTCCCGGGGCCCGGCCCAGACCTCCCCGGCCCGCTGCCATCACCTCCCGGGGCTCGGTTCGCCTCCCTGCAGCCCCGGCGGCCCGGCATCGTTTTCCGGCTTAAAACCCCGCTGCGGCTCCCCCAGGGCGCGCTGCGTCCGCCCTGCGCCCCGGCTTGGGCCTTTCCCTCGGCCTGCAGTACCGCTGCTTCCCAGACCAAGTCAGTTTTCCCTTTTACGCTGCCTCGGGGCGCGCGCGAGGGCAACGTTTATCACAATTCGGAATTATCTACTCCTGAGCCTCGTTAATCATTTAGTGGAAGCTAGGTTTTACGGGAAGACGGTCGGTCTGCGGCTGGGCTGGGTGGCTTCCTCCACGCAGGGCAGGGAAACCCTCTGTGGCACCTGTGCTTTTGCCTAGCAGAGGAGGAGGAGAAGCTATAGGGAAGGGTCTGGGCTTTCCAGTTCTAGTGGATTCTGCCCAGAGTTCTACTCATTGCAGCCTGATGCCCCTCCCACTCTCCCTTCCTTCCTGGGAACACAAAAATCAGTCTTTGCTTAGCTGTCAGAACGATACAGGGTCTTCTTTGATTCCACCTTACTATTTTGCAACCTAGGGACTAAATGACACGTTAAATCTCACCACGTCTTTTTATTTTTTCGTCCTTGGGGGTGGGACAGGACTAGAGATTGAATTCAGGCCTTGTGCTTGAGCTCTGGTCTTATGCTTGCTAGGCAGGAACTCTACCACTTGAGACCTTTTTCCAGGCCCTTTGGTTTTGGATATGGGGGGGGGGGGTCTGGTCATTTTATACCACTGGCCTGGGCTGTGATCCTCCTATTTGTGTTTCTGGGTATTGTTGGGGATGACAGACCAGTGCCTTCCCCTCTAACTGTGATAATAGCTGCCTCCCAAGTAGCTAGGGTTTACAGGATTGAACCACAGTACCCAGCCCAGACCCAACAAATCTTATCTACAAAAACAGGTGCACTGTATTATATAGTCAGTGCACCATAGTTTTCAGAGAGTTGAGAGCTTGGCAAACAAAAAAGCCCAGGAAGTCAGGGGGGAGCCATGTCTTCAGGAAGACAGAAACAGATGTGTGGTGGTCATTCTTGAGAGGCTTCTCCAATCATCAGAATCAATCACTCTGACTAACGAGATATCTATAGTTATGTCCAACCCTCTACACCAGGGACTTCATTGGCAGGGACAGAGAAACCCCCAGGTCACTAGTACCAGCCTGAATAGGGCTCTACTGCAAGCTAAGTCATCATGAAAATCCAGCAGTGGACAATGAATAAAAATATTAGCAAACAGATGCCAGAACCAAGAGAAGCTACCAGTGAGTAGCCAGATCCAGGACCCAGGGGCCAGGAGTCTCAGACAAGGAGACAAGGGACAAATGTGAGGAATTCCTACTCCAGGAAAGAGGACAGGCATGAGAGAGGATTCCTAATAAGTGGATAATTTCTCCAGGTCAATATTTCCCAGGAAGAGAGGGCTTGGGAAGGATCACCAAAGTGTTTGAACCATGTCCCTTCCCATCCATTCCTTTCCAGGCAGCAGACAACACAGAGTACTTTGTGCCAGGTACTGCAATAGGGGAATCAGAGCACAAATGAACTGACTTGAGTCTAATTTCCTTATTTAGAAAGGAACATAGATACACTATGATAACCTCCTGCAGCAGAGCTAAAAGGCAAATGTTATGAGCACGAAAGAACACAAGACTTCATAAAGGTGATATTTGAGCCAGGATTTGAGGGATGAATGAAAGTTCACCACAGAGAAAGCAGAAAGCTTAGGAATCCACATAAATGAGTCCAGGAAACAGTAGATCAGAGGAGCTGGAGCTGGTGCTAGGGGATAAGTGGAGGTAGGAGATTAGGCTGGAGATGTTAGGCCAGTTGTACAAGGTCTTGGCCACCATCAAAGGAGCTTAGATGTCTTCTTGTGTGCAACAGAAAAATAACTGGGGAAATCTTCAGAGGGTTCACATCACAAGAGTCTAGTCCTGGTATAGACAGTACATTGCTGCATTTCTCTCTCATCCTGAGTTTACCTCACCTATCATTTTCCTAATACAGCTTTAGGAATTTAACACAAGTCTTTACAATCTAGTTGAATTAAAGTGAAATATTCCTGAAACTTGGTGAGTAGGATTTTAGTTGTGAGCATTTGTTTCATGGGCCTCTAAGGTCAGTCTCAGTTGAAGAGGATCTTTGACATACCAGGGAACCCTTAAGGCAAATTGTAAGGAAGATTACTCCCTGAGAACTGGCTCCTCCTTAGAAACCAGGCTTAAAAAAAAAAAAAAACACGGGCTGGGAAGGTGGCTCAGTGGTAGAGCGCTTGCCTTGCATGCCTGAGGCCCTGGGTTCGATTCCTCAGCACCACATAAGCAAAAAGAAAAAAGCCGGAAGTGGCGCTGTGGCTCAAGTGGTAGAGCGCGAGCCTTGAGCTGAAGAGCTGAGGGACAGCCCCAGGCCCAGAGTTCAGGCCCCATGACTGGACCCCCCCCCAAAAAAAAAACAACCTGTCACCCAATTTATTTGTTCATCCATTTTCTCCATTGCCTCTTAAAGGTAAAGTGCCAATCTAGTCTAATGTTAGCGCCTTCTATAAAAATGTGGCTAACTCATCAGTTTCAACATGGCTGTGAAATGAGGGCCAGGTTCTCCTAAGCCAAAGTTTTTGTTTTGTGTTTTGTTTTGGTACTGGGGCTTGAACTCAGGGTCTCACTATCTTGTTTGGCTTTTTCACTCAAGGCTGATGTTTGTAATCATTTGAACTACACCTCTGCTTCCAGCTTTTTGGTGGTTAATTAGAAATAGAGTCTCACCGATTTGTCTTCCTGGGCTGGCTTTAACTTGAAATCTTAAAATCTCAGCCTCCTGAGTAGCTAGCATGAACCACCAGTGCCTGCTTAATCCAAAAAAAATTTTTTTTTGTCAGTCCTGGGTGCTGTCCCTGCGCTCTTCAGCGCAAGATGAGCGCTCTACCGCTTGAGCCACAGCACCACTTCCGTTTTTCTAGTGGTTTATTGGAGATAAGACTCTCACGAGCTTTTCTGCCTGGGCTGGCTTTGAACTGAGATCCTCTGATCTCAGCCTACTGAGTAGCTAGGATTAATCCAAAAATTTAAAGTTCTCCCCCTCAGGGGGAAAAAAATTACAGTCCTGAGAATTGGATCAGAGCCTCTCATATGCTAGCAAACTCTCTACCACTGAGCTATTACCCCCAGCCCTGGAAGCATCTTCATTCAAACAAAATCTTTGCCAATTCATCCACTTGGAAGTTTTCTCTTCTATTCTGGTCCCTCCTGCGGGGACTGACTAGTAGGGAGTTTTTTTTTTTGTTTGTGTTTGTTCTAGTGCTGGAGATGGAACCCAGGGTCTCTTGCATGCTAGACACACACTATACCACTGAGCTATATCTCCAATTCTGATAAAGTTTCAAAGCTTTTGTGGGGTATAGTGTCCAAACTCATTGTACCAGAGGAACCTAGAAAATGAGTCATGGTCTAAATTCTCCTATGCTTCCCCAAAGGAAAAAGAATGAACTTTTGGGATTTCTAGAAGTGCACCCATGTGAAAAACGGCCTCTTCTAACCCTCTTCCACCAAGAGGTAAGAAAAACCAGATCCAGGGACTGGGAATATGGCTTAGTGGTAGAGTGCTTGTCTGGCATGCATGAAACACTGGGTACCACATGAACAGAAAAAGCCAGAATGGGTGCTGTGGCTCAAGTGGTAGAGTACTAGCCTTGAGCACAGAGTGGCTCAGGGACAGAGTCTAGGCCCTGAGTTCAAGCCCCAGCACTGGCAAAAAAACTGCGTTTTCTAATGCTACATTTCACTGGCAAAAAAAAAAAAAAAAAAAAGATAAAGAAAAACCAGATCCAAAGTCCTGAGGTCCTGAACATCCCAGAGCCCACAATGGAGGGAGGGAGTTAGGAGAAGCTTCTAAAGAAACAACAAGAGAAGGGGGTAGGG